TATAATAACGAAAACGGTGAGTGAACTGGACTGAACAGTTTCAGTGTAACAGTAAGATCATAAGAAGTTACATCTACTTCTAGTTAATTATCCTGGAACAGTCTTTTGAGTTCATTTCATGTCTCATGTATGTTGTAGTTTACCTTGCTATTTCATTACAATTCACCATTATTTCAGCATATCTGAAAACTTGTAATTTATCACAATAATAATAATAGAGAGCCTAAGTCCCTTAGGCTCGGTCGACCACCATGTGACCTTATTTCGGAAAAATATTGTATAGCAGTCAATGGCGAGAGATAACAAATATTTTGATCTGGTTTGAATTGTGCCCTGAATTGCACATATAATGTTTGTCAATTTAAAAGAAACATTTTAAAGTAAAGAAAGTCGCCGTTTGATGTGAAACCGTTGAGGTATAACTAAGACTGTGAAAATACGTAATTACAAAAACTACAAACCCCAAAGGCGCAAATTTTCTCTCAATGAATGTAGTTGACTTTACTGAGGCTATTGTCTGTCATTGTTTCTACAGTCTTACGTTATAATCGTAACGTTACGAGTGTTTTATACCAGACTGCACACACACGAGCAGCGGATCTCACTCGTTGTTTCGCGTCCCGGGAGATGTAGTTCTTGAGCGATTTTCACATAAAACTAAACGTTACTCTTCTGTTTTATGACAAACTGCGATGTTTTTGACTTTCAGAATTATCTTTTAAATTGACAAACATCATGTGTGTAATTCAGGGCAGAGTTCAACGGAATAAAAAGATAAGTTGTCTCTCTCCATTGACTACCATACATATTTTTTCCGAAATAAGGTCCCATGAGCCGGAAGCGGAGGGGCGGGACTTAGGCTCTCTATAGCGGATGACTCTCCATAAATCAAACGCTCTGCCGATGTTGATCCGTGTTTTCGTCCTGAGTCGATTCGATTCACGTTTGGCCTGACGAGCTTCAGCAGATACAGTTTTGTTTTATTTTTATATTTATGTGGAGTTTGCGTTGGAGTGTGTGTTGGAGGCAGGAGTGTTTTGGTGTTATCACTCTCAACTAGAGCCAGACCGATATATCGTCCGGCCGATATTATCGGCCGATATTAGGCATTTTCCAAAATATCGGTATCGGCAGTTATAACGGCCGATAAATCAATATTTAAAAAATAAAATAAAAACGGACGAAACACGCTTTAATCATCTCTCCTTGGCTTGTTATATTGAAAATGTATGTTTTACGATTTGCAGTATGACGTTATCTATTGCTAAATTATGGCTCATCATAGACTAGCTAACCACAAAGCTAGCTAATGCCACTATCATCAGTGGAAGGCCGCTAACGTTAACATTAATGAGCTTGGAAACCACAATGAACTTTTTCTGCCTAAATAAAGTAATGAGTGAACATTTATAGAGAAAAAGTATCAAACGCATCTTGTGCAGAAAAGTTAGCTTTTCTTTTACACGTGTGTGAAATCCAACAATTAGGGCTGCAACTAACGATTATTTTGATAATCGATTAATCGGACGATTATTTTTTCGATTAATCGATTAATCGGATAAAAAATTATATTCCTTTTTTTGTTTATTATAACAAAATAAAACCCTAAAAACCACACTCTTTTGTGTGTTAAACAATCTACTTAATACAGACAACTTCATTATAAAGAAAAACAACAAATAAAAAAATATATATATATGACCATAACCTATGACAAAAATGCTATTGTAAACTAGATTAGTGGATAACTCAGCAAAACTTAGCCTAGAAATATCACAAGTGCACAATAATTTTATAAAATCTGAACATTTAGTGAAACAAAACATTCCTTAGTGGGGAACAAATATGAGACAATAAGTGTAGCACTAACTCTGGTAAAACGTACACATTGCTCTTTATTGTTTTGTTATTGTTGTTGTATTGTTGTTATACATTCATGAAAAACATCGTAAAAATCAGATACACAACTGTTTTAAAAGCTGTTTAGTGAGGAAGCAAAATATAATAGATAGGACAGAACAAGAAAGGCTATTAATAAGCTTTCATTGCGCAAAAGTATTATGACATGATCATGAAAGAGCTGCACAAAGTGCTAATGCGCATCGCGAGGGCTGAATTATGCGCTTGAAGCAACACGGAGTCACAGGGCGGCGCGCAGCTCTTCAGTGTCCGCCGCATTAAAGTTAAAAGCACCAAGGAAAGAGAAAGACATAGCCTACTGACTGTGTATTATACAGTATCTATGCAATAGTTTATTAAGCCCTTTCTTTTAACCGTTTTAAATTTCAAATAGGCTACTGTGCACGTGAAGAACAATTATACTGCGCTGACTCTACTATAGTGTTGTGATCTAACAGACACTCAGTAGAAAGTGATTAAGTTACAGCAATAAAAGTCTAGCAAGATAGAAAAACCATCATAGACCTTTATCTACGGATCAATTATAATAATAACATTGAATCATCTTGGAAAGAGATCATCATGTTAACTGTTGTAACGCGACGCGCTGTTTGAACACCGAATAGAGAATGACTGACAGCCGCAGTGAAGGGAAAGCTTAGGTTAACTTGAATTTAATGACTTAAATATACATTTCTATCTCACATTATACTATAGTATGGCTTCATAAAGTATACACGATTAACGTAGGTCACCTATTTTGGTTTCAAAACGGCGAATTTACCGAAAGGTGAATGATTTTCGTGTATGCTGCATATTGATAGCGGTTTCCTGATGCCCGCAAATTAGTTCAAACTCACGGAATCAAGAGTGCGCATGCGAGACAGAAGATAATGTGCTCCAAACCGTCCGTGTTGCGCGCGCGAGACATGGTAGAGCGGCGAGGGAGAGAGACTGCATGTGCGCCTCATGAAGCGCATGTAAAAAGCGCATGTTCCATGTAAACAATCCCCGTGACGTAATCAGACCAACTAATCGATAATGACATTCGTTGACAACGATTTTCATAATCGATTATAATCGATTTTATCGATTAGTTGTTGCAGCCCTACCAACAATATTTATTTTTTTAAAAATATCGGCCGATATATCGGAATATCGGATTTTAAAACCCAAAAATATTTGTATCGGTATCGAGCTTTTAAAATCCTTTATCAGTCGGGCTCTACTCTCAACGTCGTCAGCTGCAGTGCCGTCGCATAGACTGTATATAAAGGAGAAAGGCTTGGGAGTGTGTGTTGTGTTGGAGTGTGTCTCGGGAGCGCGCATGCACGTCACATCCGACGGACTTCACAGAAAATCCGAACCAGAGACTTCACATAGAAATAGGAATACTGGCCTTCAGAGATAACAGCAAAAGCGGATCATTGTAATGTGTGATTACAACTCCTTCACACACACGCAATAAAAAAAGGATTCATTTTAGAAGAAAAGTTACATATAGCACCTTTACAGGACAGAACCCGGTTCTTCTCATTAAACGAGATCCATGAAGGAAATAAAAGTGTGAATGCGAAGCAAACCAGGACTAAATGGAGCTTCATTTGGTCAGCAAGAAACCAAAATTAGAAGTTTACTTTAAAGTGCAAGTACTGTAAATACAACGCTGTAAGTGTGTCCCATCGAGTAATCAAAAGTGCGACACACACTTGTGTTTCTTCACGTCCACTTTAACAAAAAACAGGAAACGGTCATGTAGGAAGAGAAGTGTTCAGACGGAGAAGATCAGAGAACACATTTGTGATCTGTGCTAGTAGTGTCCAGACCGCCTGAACACAGCGTGACACTGACAGACCGGCCAACGTCTCAGTGGGTCAAAGGTTTCTCACCTCGGGTCCCACACTAGATGGCAGCAGAGGCCCGTTAGCATAGCAAAAACAAAGTCAGGCCACCCCGGCCCTCGTCCAATCACAGCACAGCTGTGCCATGATAACTTTTGACAGACAAAATACAAGATCACCTCATATTTACATTCACAACCAAGGAGAGCAGGACCACTAATCTATCCACAAACTAACTCACAAGAGGAAGTGACAAACAAAAATTGAATCACAACAAAAATATAATTAGTCTATATAATGACCATAAAGAGCAATCTTGACAGACTTTCAGCACACAGCCACCTCCAGAATAAGAAAGAACACTATATAATAGCTAGCTTTCATTAAAAGGATAATTGAAAACAAAATAAGATATTTTATAGAATGTTGCCAACCAGACAAATGGCGGCACCCATTGACTAAAATGTGTAATACCATGTGTCACTGTTTGGTAACTGACATTCTTTAAAATATATTTTATGTTCAACAAAAGACAGATTCTTACAAAATGAGGGCGTGAACTTTTGGGTGAACATATACATTTTTAACAAATGACAAACTATTAGATTCGGAAATCCAGATTCTCCACATCCTCTGAACAACACTCTCCCTTGAGAAGCTGTAAAGAGAGAGCGGTATCTTCATTAAAGATAAGAGTTCATAACAACTGCTAATCCTTCATCTAAGTTACTTACACCCCCACAGAGAAGCAATGAGAGTGGCTGTCAAGCCCCATTTGGCTCAGTCCACATGACTCGTGCAACATATTACAATTATCTAATAGCTTTGTGTGAGGAACAGACCCAAATTTAACTGAATGCCCTCGTTCTTAAATCTGGTTTCCTTGAGGCGGAGTTGATGACGACAGGAATCATTTTTAGGTGACCTATAGCTTTAAGGGCTGATGCGAGTTTATAATGGAGGAACCAGCAGCCCTGTTTGACAAGCAGTGACCCCAATAATATGTGTAATGACCACAATGATTATGAAAACAACAAAAAAGAAAACTGAACGCGTCCATATCTCGCGCCCTCCTCCTCCTCTTCCTCCTCAGAGATATGAATGAATACTTTGTTTAACTCCAGCTTTCACACACTGATACAAAATAACGCCCGCTTCTGGATCCCTTCACGCGACTGCTCTTTCTTCACATGCAGCGTTTGTTTGTGTGTGTGAGGAGCTGAACCCCACCGCACACATATATAGCCTATACAACAGTACCTCCTCTTCGGCACCGGTGTCAGGCTGCTCGGCTCGGACCGCGACGCCTCGCCTTTGCACTCCTGCGCCGCGACGCTCGCGTTTCCATCATCTGTCGTGTGTTTCTGCAGATGTCCCGCGATGATTCTGAGTCTCTGCTGTGCGTTGCTGCTGTTTGACGCCATGCTGCTTCCGCGTTTGCTGTCAGAGGTCAGCGCGCGGCTGATGATGGAGGGATGAGGTGGAGATTACGGAGAATACTCACTCACGCGTCCCGTCATGCACCGCGCTCCGCCTCCCTCCGAGCAGATCTTCCCTGACACTATCCTTAAAGGGAACCTGTTGTACAAAATTATGTTTGAAGATCAATCGTGTGTGTGTGTACACACAACCACACTATAATGGTGAAAATCCACCCACTGCTTTTTTTTAATCCCCGTAAATCATAAAAAGTGTCTCAAAAAAGTCTCAAGAGGTGTGTGAGACTATACTCAATATTTAATTGAATATCCAACAATGTTATTGATCGGCCTGCATTTAGGCCTACACCATTATAAACTGAACTGAGCTGGACGATGACATCACGGTTTTCTCCAGAGCGGATATATATATATATATATATATATATATATATATATATATATATATATATATATATATATATATATATATATATATAAAGGAACTAAGAACTAAATTAATAACTTTTTTACAACAAAAATGAAGCATCATTGAGCTTGCTTAAGAACAGGCCCCGCCCACAACTGCTGACGTCTCTGCCCTATTAGCTTAGCTCCGCCCCTCAGTGACTGGACACAGTCTGGTTCAGGTTCTGGTTCAGGTTCAGATTTAGTGATATAGCCCATTTTATACACAGGTAGCCCAATGTGCTTTACATAATCATAGCAGTTAAGAAACAATTTACATACTGTACATCAATCAATATTTATAGACATCAATCAAAAAAAAAAAAAAACTGAACGCGTCCATATCTCGTGCGCCGCCGCCCTCCTCCTCCTCCTCCTCCAGAGTCTGCCATGTTATCTCCTTGTCAGGGCATTTAACAGCTGCATTCAAGTAAAAAATGTATTCTTATTAAAGCTACTAAAGTTATTCAGTCAAGAGCGGTGAGTGTTTATCAGTTTTTCTTTGTTGTTTGATTCATATTGACAGTATGAAGAGTTCAGATGCAAAAGCCTCTAAATGCCATTTGAAATTTTCTTCTTTAATGATGATTTATGTCAAGCTTGTATATTTAAGTTCAGTAATTTCACTTAAATGGCAATGATAATTACCTATTAATTGTTATTTAAGTGAAATTACTGAACTTGAATATACAAGCTTGACATAAAATCATCATTAAAGAAGAAAATTTCAAATGGCATTTAGAGGCTTTTGCATCTGAACTCTTCATATATAGAAGTAGGTACAGTATATTACGCAGCTGTCACGTTAATACACAGATCTTATAAACACATGCGATTTCTTTACCTGCTGTTTATGTTCACAGACTGTGAACTTTGTGTTTTTGACAGTTTAACCAAGGCAAGAAGGAGAACTTAGTTTTATACTCACGGGAGTGTTGTCTGAGAGGTAGCTTTCTCTGCGCGTGATTCGGATTTGTGCGTACAGAAAATTATATATCAGACATTTAGACTGATATGTATGGAAGCTTGTTTCCGCCACAAAATGAAAAATAAAAAAAGGTAATTGCAACTCACAATTCTGACTTTATTTCTCAGAATTGCAAGATGTAAAGTCAGAATTACGAGATATAAAGTCAGAATTGTGTGATATAAAGTCGCAATTGGGAGATATAAAGTCAGAATTGTGAGATATAAACTATTCTGAGGGGAAAAAAGTTAGTCTTTTTTCCCCTTAGAATTAACCCGATAACTCGCAATTGCGAATTTATATCTCACAATTCTGAGAAAAGATGTCAGAATTTCGACAAACTCGCAATTATGTGTTATAAAGTCAGAATTGCGAGATGTAAACTCGCATTTGTGAGAAAAAAGTCTGAATTGTGAGGTATAATGTCGCACTTCTGTCTTTTTTTCTCAGAATTGCGACTTCGCAACTTCGCAATTCTGACTTTAAATCTCGCAATTCTGACTGTATAAGGCATTTAAAGATACATGCATGTAAACAGCATGGTTTTGCTTCAACTCAAAATGGGCATTTACAACATAATTAAAAATAATATAATTAATTATCTGTGGGGTTTTTTAAAAACTGAAACTTCTGACACATTCTGGAGACACCAGAGACTTATATTACATCTTGTAAAAAATGGCATAATAGGTCCCCTTTAAATCACGCGTTTATTTTTTCCTCAAAAACCTAGCATTTAAGTTTAAATCTTTGAACTGTGAATCTATTTTCTACTCTAATTTTTGTTGTTTTCATACAGTTTGTTCTCACATGATGAGAATGATAATTGTAATATAGCTAATGTATCTTCTAAAATTGTACACTACTTCAAAATTATGAAATAACATAAACTGAGTCCTTAGTTCCAGATCTGAACAACATTTCCCTGGTTTTCAACATTGACAATAATCAGAAATATTGGTTTATTTGAAGCCAATATTCCTTTAATTCACAAAAAGTAGCCTTATTTATGTATTTAGTGCCTGCCTGTTTCATATGGGTCTAAATTACACTAAACAGAATTAGTTGTATTTGGCTTGTAACAACAACAAACCAATTTTGCCACATTTTTTGTGTTCCATAAAGACTCATGCCTTGAAAATGCAGGTGTAAAACCATTTCAGCATTCTTCACAACCAGTGGATCTCTGAGTGAGTGGAGGCGGGGCTCATTTGCATATTCATAGAACCGCACATACTAAATGAGTTTCGGCTTACATTCAAGCTATTTCAAGCCATGGCCATTTGTTTTTTCAAGGAAAGAAAACGTTTAAATATGTCATTTTGGATCAAATTATTGACTAGGGACTTTAACCCTTATGCTGCATTAGGGACATTTTTGGTCTTTTCCAGTTCAATTTCTTTGACCATTTTGGCTGTTTTAATGCAAATGGTATGAAATTTGGCAAAATTGTGACTTTTTGGATACATGTAAAAAATGTGATCCCATTTTGCAAAATATGTATAACACACACTGTGTAGATCAAATAGTAACACTCAGCACCATAAAGACCAAAAATGGCCCATTGAAACCCATTAAAACGTTGTTTAAATCTGAGGCTGTCAGTAATACATGAAACATGATTTTTGCACAAACATCCTTTCATTTTGAAGCAAAAGCATTATATTTGCATTATATAGTGTATTCCACCAGATGACGTCACTACATATTTATTCCCCATGGGTGGAAATGCACCTTATTTTAGGCAATAGGCAATGTTTAATAGGTGGCCATTTTTGGTCTCTAACGCGCTAAGTGGGATTTTTTGCAAAGTGGGACTGTGATAATCCAAATCTAAAGTTTTCTCTTTGCATTTAGTTTATTGAAAATAATTGAATTTTTGTGTTTTTTCCTCTTATACAAATCGATGGTTTCGCAAACAAAACTGGTAATTAAATGGTTAAAATCCTGAAATTGAATAAATTTTTGGTAGTTATGATGAGGACTGATGCTGGTTAAAAGATTTAACTTGGTAAAAGTGGAAAATAATAATAATATATAATATTTTAGGCAATGTTTAATATGTGGCCATTTTTGGTCCTTAATGCACTCAACGGTGTTAAAAATCTAATGCAGCACAAGGGTTAAATAAAACTTTTACCCTGGTTTCACAGACTAAAAAGCATGTTTGAGCTATTTTTACTGAAAGCTACTTGCACTGAGAGATTTTAAAATATACCAGTGCCATTAAGATTCCCGCCAGTAATGTTTTCCTCCAAGGCATGTTCATAAAAGCTACTTAAATTAGATACATTTTTTTGTAAAGATTATGTTATCAGGTTGTTGTTTTTTGCGCAAACTAGCACTTGCGTCGCTTCATAAAACTGAGTTAAACCACTGGAATCTTATGGATTACTTTAATGATGTTTACTGGGTCTTGGATGTGGTAGTTGCGTAGCTGTCAATGGAGGACAGAAAGCTCTTGGATTAAAACATATTCATTCGTGTTTCGAAGATGAGCGGTCTTACGGGTTTGGAAGAACATGAGCGCGAGTAAATGGATGCACTGACACTGTAAAAAAATATTTTCAAGATTTGTTATCACAACATATTTTCTTTTGTCAAATCAACTTTATAATAATTCATTTAGTTGAGATAACTTATTATTTTGAGTTTCTGATGATTAAATTAATCTCCTTCATTGTATTAACTCACTTTTTTTCCAGTTCAATCAACTTAAAATTTTAAGGCAACCAGGTTACTCACTTTTTTAAGTTAAACAACATTTTTTTATAGTGTAGTAATCACAACATTTTTTCTTTTGTCAAATCAACTTAAATAATTTATTTAGTTGAGATAACTTATTATTTTCAGTTTCTGATGATTAAATTAATCTCCTTCATTGTATTAACTCACTTTTTTCCAGTTCAATCAACTTAAAATTTTAAGGCAACCAGGTTACTCACTTTTTTAAGTTAAACAACAATATTTTTTTATAGTGTAGTTATCACAACATTTTTTTCTTTTGTCAAATCAACTTAAATAATTTATTTAGTTCAGATAACATATAATTTTCAGTTTCTGATGATTAAATTAATCTCCTTCATTGTATTAACTCACTTTTTTCCAGTTCAATCAACTTAAAATTTTAAGGCAACCAGGTTACTCACTTTTTTAAGTTAAACCAACAATATTTTTTTTTACAGTGTGACATATCATTTTGGATTTTTGGATGAATTAAAAGGATAGCTGAGGATTATTAACTGACATGTCTTTGCAGAACATCAGAGTCTAGAGGTGAAGAGATGAAAGAAATAGCAGTTCTGCTTACCCAGTTTTCTTTCCTTTTATCAAATGTCACATATATTTATTTTGAATAAATGAGTCCCCCTGTAGTCAATTCGTATCCCCTAAAACTCATATTTGATTACCAAAACGGCAAAAATGTCTTGCTTCCTGTAGTAAATGCGGTGCTATGAATATGCTAATTAGCCCCAACTCCACTCACGCCAGCTCTCAATGCCAAAGCTGAATAATAATAATAAATAAAAAAATACATAAATAAATATATGAAGAAATGTAAAAAAGCAAAAATACAAAAATAAATATACAAAGAAATGTAAAATAGTACAAATAAATGAGTATTTTTACTTTTATTCCCATGTTTATGTATAATTGTATTTTTTTCACACCTTTATTTATTTATACATTTATTCATTTCCACTTTTATTTATTTCCACATTCATTTATGTATATGCTCACATTTATTTATTTCCACATTTCTTTCTCCATATGCTAATGAGGGGGGCGTGTTTTAACTCGGACATCAGCAATTGAGATGTGTGTGTGCGTAGTTGTCTGTCAACGTGTTTGTAAATGATTATTCTGCATATGTTAAGCACTCTTGATGGGTTAAACGGTGCAGTTTCAATCTTTATGTGCTTGACTAATTAAAAACAGATGTACTTTAAAATACACTTCAGCAAAACCTCTCACATTTATTTCCCAGATGCATACTTCGCATATTGTACACTAGTATTTCAGACAAATGGAACAGTTTTTACACTTGGAAATCTGTTTAGTCAGTGCCCATAAAAAGTTCTCCGTCTTAAGAGCAGATGACCCTCATAAGAGTCACGTGACCGTGAGACATGCGCTCGCCTGATGATGTCATCACAAACCTCTAAGCTTCTCCATTTAAAGTGCTTTTCTCTGCACCGCCTTGTAAATATGGGATATACACTGCCTTTACAACAATGGAAAAAGCCACATTTTTTGTGTTTCCTGAGGTTATGGAATGGAATGTTTAATTGGAAAGTGGCGTGTTACTGTGCAACGGTTATTTTTAGATATTTAGCAATTGCGGTATAGCCTCCGCTATGCTAGTTGAACACTTGGAGAAAACATTCTGGGAAAAGATCATGTAAATAACACACAACACAACTATAACGAAACATCAACGCATCTGTGATTCCCACACTCAGAGGATGTTCATTAGCAGTTGGAAATAAATGAGCATGTTGTAATGATGATGTGTATTTGTGCGTGTCTTTTGAAGGACACAGGCTGTGCAGTTTAACGCTGTAACAGCTTCATCCAGATGGACTGATTGTTTCCTCCAGGCCTGAGCTTTAAACTCCCAAAACAAAGTTCTGTAATGCACTGACTGCAAACAATTAAGAGCCGGAGTGCATCACAGAACTTTACTTGGAAAGCCACAGCGCTGCCCGCCGATTCTCTTCTTCTCAGGGAAACTCCTCTGCACGAGAGAAACACACACGTTACATTTCTCATCCGCATCACAAACCCGTAGACAAAAAAGTGATCTTTAATAAGTGATAGCAACATATGTTTTTCGATTAAGTTATGAATTTTTGTCTCCATCTATCTCTCATTTATATATATATATATATATATAGCACCTATATATATATATATATATATATATATATATATTAAAAAAACACACACACACACACACACACACATATAGGCCTATATATATATAAAAAATACACACGTATATAGAACGAAAACAAAAATTTTTGTTAGATGTGATTAATTGATTTGACAACACCTATATTGTTTTATATATAAATAAATATATTATAAATAAATTATATATAAATATATTATATATAAATAAATTACATATATATAGAAATATATTTTAGAAATATATTATATATATATATAAAATATACGTATAAAAATAAATAAATTATAGAAATATTATATATATATATATATATAAAAGAAATATATATTGTATATAATTAAATAAATTATACACAATATATATATATATGCTAATAACTAAATCTATAAATATATCTGACCAGACCATTTGAATTGGCAAAGGCAGCAAGTGAACTTAAGTTTAAAGTTGAAAGAGTGAATTTTTAACGGTTTATGGTAACCATTATACTAGTTCTCACAATGAAAGATGATTGACAGGTGAGACTGATATCAATGCATCTCTGAGCTGGAGCTGAAAGTGAGGAACTCCTCGAGCTCAGTAAATGTCTATTAGACGAATTGAAATAATGGATAAGCGTAAACGTGGACTCATTCACACATGCACATAATCAGATCATGAATGATGAACACATATGGCGGCCTACGGTGCATATGCAGAAAAACAGCTACGTGCACGATCCATGCAAATTAAGTGCATGCAAAAAAAAAAAAAAAACTAAGCGCAGAAGAATCAAATGAAACGTGTCACAAAAACCTGATTTAAATATTGAATCCGCTCTTCCACTCTGTCTATTTGCACAGTTAACAACTGGGGCAGCCGAGAACAGCTGACGTGTCGAAAACTGTGGAGCAGTGCATTAGTTCAACAACATCAAGTCTGTCATCCCGGAGTATATCGAAACTCAACACACACATATCACTTCACAAACTAAAAGAGAAGTCACAATGTTGAGAAGAAAGGGGGAACTGAGGATGCCATATGTCATGCATTTGCACTAACATCACGCAGACATTTAAGAAGTAGTTTACTTTCTCACAGGAAAACTTCCATTCAAGTCACTTTAATGCTTCAGTGGGTGAATACCTCAATGAGTGTCGATGTGACAGGGTTTTATAAGCACACACACACAGTCTGAGAGAGTGAATACACACTTCCAGAGAGAGAAAAAAAAGAGTAAAAGAACAACATACCTGCAGCAAATCACAGCACGAGCCAGTCGACGCTGGATAAAGTGTGTTTGGAGAAGAAGCTCTGCTGAAACACGGTCTCTGTCAGAAGAAGAAGAAGCCCTGTGGAGGATTGAGCAGATGAAGCTCGTGTAACTGTTGATGAAGCGCGTCCGCGTCCGTGCAGCAGCTGGAAGAATGTCGACGTGGAGCTGCCAATCGTGCGCGCGCAAACACGCACGCGCTTCGGGGGGAGAAAAAACTACGTTTTGCTGCTTTCACTGGGGTGCTAGTATACTGGTGGTTAGTAATCTGTTAGTTAGTGCTGGAGATTCAGTGTGAGGTTCATAAGATACGTGTCAGCGCCTGAGATAGATAGATAGATAGATAGATAGATAGATAGATAGATAGATAGATAGATAGATAGATAGATAGATAGATAGATAGATAGATAGATAGATAGATAGATAGATAGATAGATAGATAGATAGATAGATAGATAGATAGATAGATAGATAGATAGATAGATAGATAGATTAAACTTGCACTAAAACTTTTCAGCATTTCTCTCTTTCTCTCATTTCTCTACAAAACATTTCTCTATTTGTTTTGTAAAAATGATTTCCATCCATTTGTACACAAACTACGACTGTAATTTGAACAATTTCGCCCCAAATAAAGTTACAGATGAAATGTGAGGCATGAAGAAAACAGGGAAAATGTATTTAAAGGTAGGGTAGGCAATTTTCGGAGAGGCTAGCAATAGCGAGTTAGCATTGAAAGCATGAGATCCCTCCCAAGTCAAATCATCCTCATTTATATAGCGCTTTTAACAATGTAGATTGTTTGAAAGCAGCTTTACAGAGATAAACTTGATTTGGTGTTATAGCGGTTCTTGAATTATGTTATTTTTCAGCTAAAGTTGGTACAGCGTTCTGAAAAGCGTCAATAGAGACGGCGTTAAACTCCCTCATGTCTCAAAGCACATTACATTATAAAATAATGAACATAAACAACTTACAGGGATACTACACCATTTTTTCATAATAAACTATGTTATTCCCTTAAAGGGATAGTTCACTTTGAAATTAAGTTTTGATATGTTTTATCTTACCTCAAGGGCATCTAAGATGTAGGTGTCTTTGTTTCCACAGTATTTTCAATTTTGACATTTTCAGGTCAAACCGTTGTTGTCTGTCAGTCATACACTGGAGGTGAAGGGGGTCCTCAATCGGTTCACCTCAAAGAGCATCCACAGAGAAGTCCAAATTAAACATGATTTAATGACTCGTTAATGTAAGTACACATTGATGGCCTAAGACACGAAACGAGCGGTTTGTGTGAGAAAACCAACAGTATTTATATATCGTTTTACCTCTTGTAATCATAGCCATGACACAATGATCTGATGGCACGGGCGCTTCGGTCTGCGCATGCGCTGGAAGTGATCGCTTGCGTGTGACGTCACTCTTTATTTATACAGAGATTTCGGAAGTTTTACCTTTCACTAAACATATTTAGATATACGGGAAACCGCAATGGAAGACGATTTCGGTATATCTAAATATGTTTAGTAAAAGGTAAAACTTCCGAAATCTCCGTGTAAATATTGAGTGACGTCACACGCAAGCGATCACTTTCGGCATAACATTGAACTGATTCAGTTGAACATTGAACAACTGATTCAGATCACTTGGACGTCACTGTGGTTACACGAGGTAAAAACGATAAAAAAAAATTTTGTTTTCTCACACAAACCGCTCGTTTCGTGTCTTAGGCGATCAATGTTTACTTAGATTTACGAGTCGTTAAATCATGTTTAATTTTGACTTCTCTGTGCATGCTTTTTGGTGGACCCCCTTTAGCCTCCAGTGTATGACTGATAGACAACAACGGTTAAACTGAAAAATGTAAAAATTTAAACTACTGCGGAAACAAAGACACCTACATCTTGGGTGCCCTTGAGGTAAGATAAAACATATCAAAAATTAATTTCAAAGTGAACTATCCCTTTAACTAAGACGAATTCGGCCCGAATGCACTGATTGGACGAACATTTTATGATCCTACGCCTTCCCCAGAAGATACATGTAAATACATTTAAACCACTTAAAGTCACACTATGCAAGATTTTTGGATCAAAATATCCAAAAACCACTAGAACAATGTTATATAGTTTGTTAACTTGTGTACTTACATTATCCTAAATGTTTGTTCTGAGAAATGAGCAGTTTTAACCACGACACGGACCATCGCCTATCAGTGACATCATATCCGCGTTACCCTTGATTTCCTGTTTTATTTTGTAGAAAGATGCTTTAATATATTATGTGTTTTATTAGACAGGTGAGCAACTGTTTGTATACAATCGACAATAAACGAATCATCGTTATATATAAGATGAACACAGTCGGTTTGTTTAAACCTTGTTTTCTTGATTTACCGCGAGTATGTTTTACCATGTCTAATATCGATCTCGCTCACTGCAGCGTGCAGCAAGTGTCTCTGCCGAGCAAACACACATGAAGCATTATAACAGCTTTCATCACACTCAAATGTGTGTAATATGACAAACAGCGCTGCGTTTCTCACACACGCATGACGGAAGAAGAGGAAGCGTATCCACAAGTTTCCTACGCCCCATGAGGCCCTGCGTCAAAAGTGGGCGCGACTTCCGGTTCGAAGTAAACAAAGCGCGATTTGACATGCTTGACACTCGTTCATTCAACAGTTGACAGTCATTCAAGTTATAGCGATCCAAACTAGCTAACGATGTGGGAACACAACCTCAACGAAATTCAAAAGGGTGAAATAACAGTACCTTTACCCTCCGCAGTAGTTGATTGGGAGTATTATAATAACATTATTAATAATCAATACTCATCAAGGCATGGTGACAGACAGTTGTGCGAGCTGACAAACAATTAAAATAAAAAATACACACTTAGTCATTGTGCTTTGGAGTTTATTCAAAATTATAAATGAATGTGCTGCTTGAATACATTAACTGGCATATTTTTATTCTGTCAACACAGACTTTGATCCTGAGTTTAGGTGTAACATCAGTAGCGAACAGCCAATCACATGCTGAGAGAGTTTATAGAACATTAAGAATTTAAACAAATGTACACAGGAAGATTCGTCATCTTTTGGGAAACTACAGTCGTTGGCAGGATCAGAGACGGGCTCTGGCAGGATCACTCTGATTTCGTTTTCAGCTTATGTTCAAAACAATCACGTTAAAGCCACTGAATTAGTTTAGTCCGGTTATACATACAACCGCGAACAGCACATGTTGTCCCTGAGCTCCGTAACGACATCTCTCATAAAGATTTGCGTCTTTAAATAGTAAAATAATTCTCCGAAAAACAGCTAGCCTCTTGGCTAACTAACACACAAAATACCATTGGAATGCTACTTACGCCGCCTCACCGGAAGTTTCACCCACTTTATTTTTTACAGGAGCGCCCCTCGGAAACTTGTGGATATAAAAGCTCCACTGCTCGTGTGTCGCACTCGTCTCTCATTAGCAATTACTCCAGCGGCTCGTTACGCTACAACGGCTTCCATAATGTTGATAAATCTTTAATACATTACCGCTCATCCATGAATATGATCTCTGCTGTATTCTCCACGGCTGTAGAGGTGAAAACAACAACTCCCATGATCCCGCCAAATCGAGGCGTCATCAAGCTACGCTTTTGATGTGAATAAGCGACCTCTAGTGGCGAAAACGTACATATTGTGCCTTTAACTTAGTGATTGCTATCAGGGTGTGAAGAGACTTGCAACCAACATAAACACATTTCTGGAACAAATCACCCTGCCTTTAACTATAGCCTAACCGTTTTAAACAAAACTTTCAGAAAAATATGACTACTGTTGTGAAAAATAACTACTATTATTATTGGTAGCAAATCACATGAACAAGTGAAAGTTTTCTTTTTAAAAGTCTCAAGGGCCAAAAGTGCCCATATAGTTGATGAAACAGACTTTATAGACATAATATACTTTCCACTCAGTCGACAGTTTGACTGAAGTGTCACGTTGTGATCTTTAGAGTAATTTTGTCAGGTGATCATTTCAAATCTTTAAACACCCCATGTGCTGTCAGATCATTCGCACACAAGCCAAATCCGTCATCCATTTGTTTAACCCAAGCAACATTTCAACTTTAGTTTAAAGTTGTGTAATTATAAACTCAATGGTTTACAGTGCGGTTTAAAAGGTTGAAGATTAATTACACCGTGTGCTGACATATAAAAGCTTGATGCCGAACAGCAGGAGGCGTTCTCAGGCAGACAGATGGACATGCGGGTCACGGGAGTTTGTAGGTGTGTGTGTTCAAATCATGTGCTTTCATTGCGTTTTTTGATTTGTACGTCGTGTTCGCCCAGAGAAAGTAGTACATCTGTCCATCAAGATCATATATTTCTCAGAGCCTACAATTTTTGGTTCCTGCAACATTCCTGAGGGAACTCGCAGGGATCGGTTGTTACAAAAGGTGACGACTATTGTTTTTTTTTATATAAATAAAATAAATGGCAACATAGTTGAACATATTTCCCAAAGGTACATTTCAAATAATTATTTAGAATAGCCTAGTTATGTTAAAGTGTTATCAATTATTTTCTTTAAAGATAGAAAAGTCTATAGAGTTAAAGCTAAAATAAAGATTTATTTATCTAAGTTCACATTCAGAAGGTTTCCAGCAGATGAAAGGTAAAAGGGGCGTAGACCGCAGCAGCTCAGCAAGCGCTTATTCCTATTGGTCAGCGTGAGTATGGGCGGGGCCAGCGGATGACTGGGGCTTTCCGTGAATTTTCATAACTCCTCAGTCAGACAGCAGCAATTCCTTCACAAGTGCATCGACAATCGGACGTATTTATTTTCAGGCCACATTTTATTTCGCTGTGAAGGATTACAAACAAATAAATCACTTCAGGAGTTACGGCGGACGAGGAGAGATCCTCTCAGACATGATGGAGATTGAATTGCCTAAAATGCACCAAAGCCAACAGGTAAATAATATTTAACTACAATAACTAATAGCGTTACAACAATGTGATAGTCGCCTGTTTTAATAGTATTAAAATAACACTACAATTATTAGTAGTAATCTCACTATGATGTTACATCATGCTGCCCTTTGAACCTCTTATATGATGTATTTATTGCTCTTGTCATATTTGTGTTACCAGCGCGTTACAATCACTTCCATGTGACTTTTAACAGTGTTTCAAAGTTTCAATATGAGAATAATCGAGGCTATTTTTTTCATTTCTATAACTCATGACCTGGTGGAATAGGTGGAAACGTCATTTTCACATATAGTCCGTCCGTGTTAGAGAAGGCGTTTCTCACATCCCGTTTCTAATCTTTTCACCCAGAATTCTACATAGTCATTGAACTCGAACGAAAGGAAGTGAATAAATATTAAAAATGTTGGTGAAAACATTTCACGGTGCTGAATGTCTATTGATGTGAGGCGAATCTGGCACCCGATTAAACTTCTGTCATGAGATGTGCGTCGTCGCGCTGTGATGTTTGTGCGTGTGATCCAGACGCGTCTGCGCTCGCGCGTTCTGCGCATGCGCGCTCCCCGGCGCTTTGCACAATAGCAGGCGGACCCAATCTGGAATGCGTGTGTTTATTTTATCCCTGTGTCCTGACGTAAAAGAAGTGATCCGCAGCTTTAAGACATTAATCTCTTCACAGCTACTGTCATTTTTTATACTTAACTGAAAAAAAGTTTTTATAGAGCTTTGATAACACTTTATACAACAAACTGTCTTTGACAGACATTACATAATGCTGAAGAGACCAGTAGTGTTTTTCTTTTTGTGATTTGCATGAAAATATATGAATCAAGGTTACATGAGATCTTTTTATATTGACATCCACCATAACAACACAGTTGGAGAAGAGAAAATCAAATAGGGAAATACTGTCATTATAATGCATGACAGTAAAATAAAGCAAGAAACATTCATTTAACATAAGATGGAAGATAAACCCTAACTTTACTGATAGCAGAATAATTATAGAGAAATAAAAGTAAAAAAAAAAACAACAACATAAAATGTGATCTGTTACACGGAGAAATGCTTTTACTGTGAATTATTTGTTATTTTTGTACTTTAGGTGTTTACTGTAGCATTTTACAGTCTTTCACAGGTCAAATTACAGTATTTTTTGCAGTGTACAAAACAGGGCCTAACATTCTTACACATTATTTTTCATAAACAAACACTTGACCTTCAGAAAACGGATCAATCATTATTCGAGCCATTTTTTCTTCTTCTCTCATAGTTATTTGCAAACCGGTAAAAATGAACAAACACTGAATAAAACATTCAGATTACAAAGACAACGTTTATGAAACACACTCACACACATCCATAGTTTTGGCTGAACTATCCTTTTAAGTTGTCACTCAGTAGCAACTTGTTGTTTATAAGCTTATATCCTATGTACAGAAGATTTTTATTTATTTATTTATAGTACTGTATTCAGTTGATCATGTTAAAATGATCAAGACACTGAGCTGGAACAGGACTACCCTTTCATGCTGAGATATTTTAATGTTAAATGAGATTTTATCAAACATAAAACGGTCTGCTTTAAAGTCACGTGACCCACTGCGCCGTGTGTTTAAATATGCCACCTGATGATGTGATAAAATTTAATTAATACAATTATTAACTCTGTTCTGATGCCCAAATTACACATTTAAATATTTTGACGGGGTTTATATTTAATTATGAGATGCTGTAAAATATTGTATCGCCCCCCTGGATGACGACCCTGCTTTAAGATAAGTCGTGTCGTCCACCTAAAGAACGGAGTGGTTGGTTGTGCAGGAGACTTTAGTGAGAGTATTGAAACGCTGTTAAACCGGTTTGGCACTGAATCGTGGCGGAAGAAAGAAACCGAGAACAAGGTGCTGTTGTTCCTGCTGTGGTTTATATCGCATTCCCGCCGTCGAGAGGAACAGGAAGTGAGACGGACCTGAAAAATCATCAGGAAACTTTGCAGTTTTAATAACAGCTCCGGTTTCCCGTTTCCATTAACCTGGATAATGATTACTTGAACACTTTGACACATTAATTATGCAGTGAAGAAGGTGACTTGGATATTATTTTCCCTCCTAAATACAATCCCATCCGTGACAATAAGCGACTGCGATACTCACGCGCGTAAACATACACGCAATACTCGACATATGTTTAATATAAAACATAATTATTAGTGATGTGTTCAAGCTTCATCACTCATCCGGTCAAAAACACTTACTGCGACCAGTAAACAGATCATATTTACTATATACCTTTTCCAGGAAAAAAGCCGAGAGCCTTTTGCATTTTAAAGGAGCAGTTCATCGACAAATGTCTTTATGTCATCCAAACTTCATATTATTCATGTTTTTCACTAAATCTTGGCCTCAGTGTTAGTATTATTGATATACGATACTTTATTGTTCATTTTTAAATGAATGTTTATTGTCATATTTTCTGTTTTCTTTTCAATTCTAGTTAGTATACTAGTAATTTTTGTAATTATTTGTTATATATTATTTAAAAAAAATCACCATCCACATGTATGGTTAGTGCTTGTTTAGTGTTTCACAGGAGAAAGAATGGTGAAGAAGAGAAACTAATAATTTATTGTAATAATGATGATGATTATGGTAATAATACTAATAGGCTGCCCCAATATTTTCACTTTTGGATGAACCAACCGTTCCTGTTTTGTTTTTAGCCATCATCAGATTGATAACATATGCTCTTGTAATGCGCTTGTAAACAGCAGGATATAGTCAGAAAGTCAAAGGCTCTTTAGAGATCCAAACATCCAAACTAAACACATTCTTCATTGATTCTTCATGGAGTGTGTGTGTGTGTGTGTGTTGAGTCCAGTCTTCTCGTGAGAGCGGCCCGTTTATTATCAGTGGTTTGGATGTTTCATCATCTCTGTGTCTCCACCCCCGTCTGTTATCTGGACTAATCCAGAGAGGGAGTGTGTGTGTGTGTGTGCGAGACGGGCATGTCGCTGCATGCCTCTGTCTGACGCCAGTGTATGATCCACTTAATTATGGAATCATTTGCATGATTTTATATACTTTAAAGGGATACTTCACCTCTGGAAAGATGGATGTGTATTTAAAACGGGTCATTTATGTAAAAGAAATGTGAAATTATTTTTGTATTTGGAGCTTTCTAGACTGAGAAAAGCCAGAAAATGTGTCTTTGGCTTATGTGGATGAAAGACTACAACTCCCAGAATGCACTTGCTTCACTGCCCTAGGAGGCCACGCCTACCGGTAACAGAGCGCATTAGTTTAACATCTCTGCTAAACTACTAGTGAGTCTCCGGGATGAGTCTGCCCGAAAATGTGTTTCGAGAACGGCCAACATGTCCTTTTGGCTTTTCGGGATTCGGCTTTTGCGTTCTACAGTCGCCATTCATCATGTTTACTGTGGCGAGCGTGACGAGTGACGGCCGCGAGGCCGGTGGCGTGATTACCGATGAGTGACACCTGTGAGACGCACCGGTCTCGTATCTCTCACGGAGGAGCGGAAATTTTCTTAGCAATGTTAAAACGCACATCAACCGATCACTTGTTTAGCGTTCATGTAAAAACTACACTCAGATCCACCAATCGGAATGAATTCAGTTAGATTGAAACAAAAGCTGTGCATGTGAACAATGAATGGCGACTGCAGAAAGCAAAAGCTGAATCCTGGACATCGACAGCCGGACATGTCTGGGAAAAAGAGGATGGTAAGCGCTACTACTCAGCTTTCTCCACAGAACAAGAGCCTGCTAGCTTAGCTTCCAAATAAAGATGGCCGACACTATGTGTTCATTCTGTGAGTGAGATCGCCCTCTATGGGCGGGTTGAGGACATGCAGGACAGACCCGACTACTGACTGTAGTCTTTAGCCTCTGGACAAAACATCCTCCGATGACGTAAAATGACGATTTTTGTGTCAACTGAGGGTTTTTTCCAGACCAAAAAATACATAATTCTCTCGTCTCAGGGGGATATGAGGGTGGAAAGCATGGTAATTAGAAAATATAGGTTTTCTACCAATACAAAGCGTAATGCTCAGTGTTGGGAGTAACGCATTACAAAAGTAATACATTACTGTAACATATTACTTTTTGCTGTAACGCAGTAGTGTAAGGCATTACTAATCAATTTTCAGTAATATTTTACTCGTTACATGTTCAGTGAGGCTTGTATTACAGTTGTATTACAGTGTATTGTCTGCTTTTACTTCTTAAAGGCAACAGATATGTGAAAGTTTTAAAGCAGTCTTTTAGTGCCAGTTCAGAGCGGTCGCGTCTGTAACATTGTTTTTTCCTCATAAATGCGAACACGAAAACTAAAATAAAATGAACATTTTAAGTTCTATGGAGACCGGAGAGCCAACCCTTCCTCATCCGATTTGCGCAGTGTAATTAACAGAATTACAAAAAATATATTTTGCCTCCTATTTTTTGTCACGCATGAATGTGTGTCTTTTCCCTAATATTAAAAATAAAACATAGACTGATATTTGTCTAATGTCTGGAGTCCTTTAAGGAAGTAGCCTATATACGTTTCAATACATGAATTTTCTGAGAATTTTTATTTCAAGTTTTGACTGCAAATGTCATTGACTTCCCCAATTTTAAATAATTTATCCTCAACTAGTTTTGTGGTGTAGGTCTACGTATTTTATAATGTTAACTTCATATACTAATAGCCTAATTTAAAGATAAGTCAGCATTTGATCTGGACGGTAAGGAGAATAACGCTGGAGTTGGAAGAGGTGTGTCGCGATTCTGTAGGTTCGTGGATCTGAGTCGTGTGGCGAATCGCGATTTCGGTTTCATATTGCATATCGTTACAGCCCCAAAGTTAAGTTCTACTTAGTTATTTTGGTGAAAGTAACTCAAAAGTAATACATGAGTAATGTAACGCATTACAATTCTGAGACAGTAATATTGTAAGGTAATGAATTACTTTTAAATAACAGTAACAAGTAATACCTAATGTATTACAGTTTGGAAGTAACTTGCACAACACTAATGCTAAATCCTGAAGTATCCCTTTAACTAGATCGGGAATTAATTTGTATATTCTAAAAAAATACTGGGTTGTTTCAAACCAATTTTGGCTCAAAAATGGACAAACCCAAACCAAACATTGGGTTAAAAATGCAATTTAAAAATCTAATCCAACAGCTGGGCTTGTCCATATTTGACCCAAAGTTGGGTTGAATCAACCCAGCAATTTTTCGAGTGTGTGCTGGATAAAGACTTAAAGGATTCACTTTTAAAAAAACTTTTGCTGATAATTTACTCGCCCCCATGTCATCCAAGATGTCCACGTCTTTCTTTCTTCAGTCGAAAAGAAATTAAGGTTTTTGATAAAAACATTCCAGCATTAATTCCAGCATATAATAGATTTCAATGGGGTCCAAATGGTTCAAGGTCCAAAAGACACTTTCAGTGCAAACTGTTCAAAGGGCTTTAAACGACACCAGATGATGAATAAGGGTCTTATAACTAATCTTTTTTTGAGTAATTTGGTTCATTCAATGAACAAAATGACTCAAAAAAAAAAAAAAAAGATTTGTTCATTTTGATGAGTGAGTTCGAACAGGAGAGTCACAAACTTGCATCACAGAACAGAGCAAGGCGAGCATTTGAGCTTATAAAACTTAAACTTTTTTTTTATTATTTTTTAAATGAGCGATCGTTTCACTTGATAAGACCCTTATTCATCGTCTGGAATCGTTTAAAGCCCTTTGAAGCTGCACTGAAACTCTCATTTGGACCTTGAACCGTTTGGACCCCATTGAAGTCCATTATACGGAGAAAAATCCTGGAATGTTTTCATCAAAAACCTTAATTTCTTTTCGACTGAAGAAAGAAAGACATGGACATCTTGGATGACATGGGGGTGAGTAAATTATCAGCAAAAGTTTTTTGAAAAGTGAACTACTCCTTTAAAATGATTCGATGTGTAGCTGTGTTGAGTTGTCGATGCTGATGTCTGATTCAGAATTGCAGAAGAGGAGTGCTTCCTCAAAAGTGCTCAGTTCCTCTGCTGTCAGTACACACTTCTCCTCTGCTCCGTCCCCGGGGCCTTGTGATCGCAAATCGGAAGCTGATTTTCTCTGGTCACATGCTCGAACACGAACGTACACATGCAGAACTGCAGGCGTTTATGCAAAGCTTCACCGCTGTAAATAAATGAGGAGGTTAAAGAGTAAGTAACTCGTATCTCACACACTGTTGATGTAATAAACATTTGAGGTCCTGCAACTACCAATAAAGAAAGTCTGAGGCCAAGGTTTCATAAATATTTTTGTCACTCAGCCTGGGAAGCATTTTAATGACCAGCATTTATAAATGTCTGATATGATGATGTATAATATTTGAGCAGGAGTAATGTACCAGTTAGCAGCCAAGCTCGAGTGCGGATCGGCTGGTGGACAATTTAAAGGGACAGTTCACCCAAAAATTAAAACTCATGACATCGCTCTGAACTGAAGACTTCTGTTCATCTTCGAAAAACACACATTAAGATATTTAAAATGATATTTCTGTCGCTCCACTCCACCAAAACTTGAATGCTTCATAAAGAGATTGTAAAAGAAATCCATATGTATTGAGTGGTTTAATACAAACATTGATGCATGAGCGCTCGTCAATATGCAAATTAAAGCTTTCATTATATAAAGTGACCAACATGAAAAGCTTCAAATCACTTCTACTGAAAGTTTTAGTTCGGTGGAATTTCAACGGATGGAAAAAGAGGATGAGAGAATATTACAAAACATTCCTATTTGTTTCGATTATGAAAAGTTTTACAGGTTCGAATTATGACAGAATTGTCCCGTTTGGATGAACTAATATAACACTTTAATGAATTTATTGGCCAATTAAACGAGCAATATTTATCCCAAATGTATTTTACTCTTAATTGAAAACAGGAAACGTGCATTATACATCGGCAAGCCTGTCAGAAGGTTTTGGTTTTTAGATGAATCTCCAAATGTATTGCGATATTAATCTGTCAATAAATCGATTTATCACCAGTGATGATGGTTGTGTGTGACGTCTAATGTCTGATTCTGAGCTCGGGTTCGTCATTAAAGTTGGTCTGTCTATTAAGAAACACCGCATTCACTAATTCTAGATAATTGTTACAGTATAACACATCCGCATTTTTGTAATACAGACTCTTTTTTAATCCGTCTGGAAATGTCAGTATTGCATCAGAGATGGTGGACTCAGTCAACACTGTTAGTCAGTCATAAACAATACTAGCTTTAAACAAGCTAAACGCTAAACTGATGACTCGTCATACACCATCAGTGCCGGACACTGTAGTGTAAAACTTGTGTAAATGTACTTGATTTTTTAAATGTACTTAAAGGGAAAAAAAAAACTTTTGCTGATAATTTACTCACCCCCATGTCATCCAAGATGTCCATGTCTTTCTTTCTTCAGTCGAAAAGAAATTAAGGTTTTTGATGAAAACATTCCAGGATTTTCTCCATATAATGGACTTCAATGGGGTCCAAACGGTTCAAGGTCCAAATGAGAGTTTCAGTGCAGCTTCAAAGGGCTTTAAACGATTCCAGACGATGAATAAGGGTCTTATCAAGCGAAACGATCGCTCATTTAAAAAATAAATAACAAAGTTTAAGTTTTATAAGCTCAAATGCTCGCCTTGCTCTGTTCTGTGATGAGCGTTTGTGACTCTCCTGTTCGAACTCGTTCATCAAAATGAACACATTTTTTTCCGAGTCAATTCGTTCATTACGTTCGTTGAATTAACCAAATGACTCGAAAAAAGATTCGTTCATTTGATGAACGAGTTCGAACAGGAGAGTCACAAACTCGCATCATAGAACAGAGCAAGGCGAGCAATTGAGCTTATAAAACGTAAAAAATTATTATTATTTTTTTATGAGTGATCGTTTCGCTTGATAAAACCCTTATTCATCGTCTGGTGTCGTTTAAAGCCCTTTGAACAGTTTGCACTGAAACTGTCTTTTGGACCTTAAACCGTTTGGACCCCATTGAAGTCCATTATATGGAGAAAATCCTGGAATGTTTTCATCAAAAACCTTAATTTCTTTTCGACTGAAGAAAGAAAGACATGGACATCTTGGATGACATGGGGGTGAGTAAATTATCAGCAAAAGTTTTTTTAATTACTCCTTTAAGTATTAAATATAAAAAGTATATTGATTATTGATTGAAAATAAAAAATCATAATCTCAAAAAAAAAAAAAACAGTATATCGATGTATATTTCCTGTTATTTTAAGTTTATAAAAGTTTTAGTTATTTTGTGTTTTTGTCATTTTCATAAGTTTTTAATTATAGTTTATGTAATTTCTATTCACTTGTTTTGTTTCAGTTTTTTAGTACATAAAGCTAAGAGAGAAATGTTGCCTTGTAAGGGTTTAGTTTCAGTTAAAGTTCATTTTATTCCATACTATATTTGTTTATAGTTCTAGTTAACTATGATAACCACATCTGCACTTAATAGAAACATTAAAAGAAAGAAGAAAGCAGGCCTAATACGTCTTACTCAACACACACACATCTATCTTATTATTCTGCTGGTCTTCCAATGTCACGTCAACACGCCAGCGGCAAGGACGCAAGCGATATTTTCTGTTCTCCGTCCTTGTGTGTGTGACAAACACCCTGATCTCTGTAGTTAAAACAACATGGCGGGTGGCGTTTCATTCTCGCTGCTGATTGGTCGAAGCCGCCAGAGCTTAGTAATGCACTTTTTACCGCAAAATATTAAATTACAGTTTGTGGTGTGCAGTTAAAACGAAGTGTGGTAACCAGAAGAGCTACATAAATGGTTTAATATAAGGTAAATGGCGTTTGATGTACTGTAAAACACAAAAAAATGTCTAAAAGTTTAAAACAACAACATTTTTGTGTCTTTTTAAACACATTTTGCATTCACCAGTGATTTTAAATGACGAATAAATATCCCATTTAGTCTGTCAAATAATCTGAGCATGCATAATAATTAGAAAAAAACTATTTTTAGATATATATCACGTCACACAGGACATGTCAACTTCCCACATACACAAATATGACTGATTTTTTTCCAGTGGACTTGCTTTTGATTTTTCTTCTGACCTTTAAATCTGCCACTAACATTAATAGTAACACTAACTGTGTGTGTGTGTGTGTGATTTGGTATTTCCCAGAGATGAGATGAAAAACGAGAAGCAGCATGTATTATTCATCCTGCCTTGTCGTTGCATTGACGATGGTATTGTGTGTGTGTGTGTATCTGAGGAGGGCCGGCCTCGACAGGCAGGGTGTGGTCCGGAGTGTGTGTGTGTGTGGGCTGCATCTCATCCCGTCTCTCTTCTTCTCTGTAGGACATGGATCTGATAGATATCCTGTGGAGGCAGGACGTGGACCTGGGAGCGGGCAGGGAGGTGTTCGACTTCAGCTTCAGACAGAAGGAGGTGGAGCTGCGGCGGCAGCGTGAGCAGGAGGAGGAGAAGCAACAGCAGCGTCTGCAGGATCAGGAGAAAGCTTTACTCGCACAACTCCAGCTGGACGAGGAGACCGGAGAGTTCGTGCCTCGAAGCCTTTCGGCGCAGACCAACACGACTCATGGAGAAATCACACAGGTACGCACGCACAAACGCTTCCCGCGAGACCTTTCATAGAAACACACACACATGTAGGTGCTCCACAGGCCTCACACACACACACACATGTGCTCGCTCATGTTACTGGGTGCAGCTGCCTAGTTGCTTGGTAACTGCCACAATGGCATAATTACAGGAACTCGGGAGGTAAACGCAATTCTACGAAATGGAAACACAGACGATCCCAAAACAACAGGGATAGGACACTAAACACCTACTTTTCCCTGAGGAGGACAGGCACATTTGTGTTTCGCTGATTTTTCCTTGCATAACCTTGAAAAAATTTTCGGCCAAAGGTTCGTTCACACACCAATGACGATAGCTTTGATAGATTTGAATAAACGAGAATATGAAGTCACACCACAATTATAACGATAACAACACGTTGGGATCGCTTTTAGATGTTTTTTCCCCAGCTGATGAACGATAAAAACATTGACAACCAATCAGAATCCAATAAGACATTAAATAACTCAGTGGCAGACGACAGTTATAATAATAAACAATGTTATCATTCTGTGGCGTTATTTTCCTTGGTGAGAACAGGCCGAGATTTATATCTACGCATATGAGACAATGGTTGACAAACAGTAAGAGTTTATAGATATAAAATGATTGTAATGCAGTAGCTCAGATCATTTGATGAGAAATGTTTGAGATCACATTGAATTCTAGGACTTTTGGGTTACATTGATACAGTGTGGAGTTTTGATCCAAACCAATCTTTTGGTTTAGATTGACATTTCAATGTTTAAAGTATGTTGGATCAGCACACAGTGGAGGTGACAGTGATATTGAACTAACACTAGGTGATTAAAGGCCAACTAAAGGGAACACTGATCACCACAATGGTGACATCAGACAGACTTCAATAACCTTTATACATATACCATAAGAAAGAAATTAAGCCAAACAGGTTATAATAATTGAACATGCTGATGATGTTTTGGGGGTTGTTTAAGCCTATTGGTTAAGATTGACATTTCAATGTTTAAAGTATGCTGGATCAGCACACATCGGAGGTGACCGTGATATTGAACTAGCACTAGGTGTTCGTTCAATACCAGTTAGCTCAGTTAGTTCAAGAACAGATGGCTCTGTGTGCTTCTGAATCGCTCTTGCTGTACTTTAATGTCATACATCGATCTGTCTGAGCAGCGCCACTTCGAGTCAAACACACCTATTGATTTGTTGTGGTTGAGCTCTGTGGAAAGCTAGGGGCGTTTTCAAGCTATGATGGGCATTTTCAACGCTGTACCCGATTGGTTGTAATCCACTGGGGGTGTGGTTTAGGGGTTGGGCCTTCTAGTAAAGGGGATGAAGAACACCCATTGTAGTTTGGAAATGCTCTCTGGTTTAAGGCACGTTTACATGACAACGATGTACTAAAAACTGAAAAGTTTTGTCTCTGCATTTTTCTCGAAGAGACGACAACGTTGTAAAAATGATCTGCGAAAACTATTAAGAATGCTGTATTATTCACGCCAGGCCTCTGGTCCCCAACATGAGATGCTGGTTCCCAACAAACCAGCATCTCATGTTGGGGACCAGAAAACCAGCAACCAGCATTCCATGTTGGGAACCAGGAAACCAGTATCCTTTGTTGGGGATCAGACAACCAGCAACCAGCATCCAATGTTAGGAACAAGCAAACCATTAACCAGCATCCCATGTTGGGAAACGGCAAACCAGCATCTCATGTTGGGGACCAGAAAACCAGCATCCTAATTGGGGATCAGACAACCAGCAAATCAGCATCCCATGTGGGGGACCAGCAAACCATTAACCAGCATCCCATGGTGGGGACCGGCAAACCAGTATCCCATGTTGGGGACCAGACAACCAGCAACCAGTATCCAATGTTGGAAACCAGCAAACCAGCATCCAATGTTGGGAACCAGCAAACCATTAACCAGCATCCCATGTTGGGAACCAGCAAATCAGCATCCAATGTTGGGCACCAGCAAACCAATATCCAATGCTGGGAACCAGCAAACCAATATCCAATGTTGGGAACAAGCAAACCAGCATCCCATGTTGAGGACCAGCAAACCAGTATCTAATTTTGGGAACCAGTAAACCATTAACCAGCATCCCATGGTGGGGACCGGCAAACCAGTATCCCATGTTGGGGACCAGACAACCAGCAACCAGTATCCAATGTTGGAAACCAGCAAACCAGCATCCAATGTTGGGAACCAGCAAACCATTAACCAGCATCCCATGTTGGGAACCAGCAAATTAGCATCCAATGTTGGGCACCAGCAAACCAATATCCAATGCTGGGAACCAGCAAACCAATACCCAATGTTGGGAACAAGAAAACCAGCATCCCATGTTGAGGACCAGCAAACCAGTATCTAATTTTGGGAACCAGTAAACCATTAAACAGCATCCCATGTTGGGAACCAGCAAACCAGTTTCCAATGTTGGGAACAAGAAAACCAGCATCCCATGTTAGGAACCAGCAAACCATTAACCAGCATCCCAGCATGCAAAACATACCTTTTGATGCTGGGGTTTTCAGCAGGGAGAGTACAGTAGTATGTCTGAATGGATGGTATTCCAAAAATAGTAGGCGGAAAGTCCCTGGATGACCTACTACTTCCAGTGCACATTCGATGGACACTTTACTATCCCATGAGGCCATTGGAGAGGATTTATGAATGACAGTGAAGGTCACATGACAGTAACAAAATGGTGGATGGAGTACATCTGAAATTCATTCACAACCATCCCACACACATTCATACTACATGAAGAGCGACCTTTTTTAACGGTCCAATGTAGTACCTACCGGTTTCAGACGCGGCGCATGTCAATCATTACTCAGCTTGTGTTCTTGCCTTGAGGAGTGAGGCAGATGAGGATGAGAAGCAGCGTCCTGATAACATAATTGGCCCTCTCCTGCTTTATCAGGTAATCCCTCACATTGAATACAGATTCAGGAATATGAATGATGTAACCAATCTCCATTTCAGTTTTTAGCCTTTTCCCACTGAAATGCAATCACAAAAATCTATTGTGTGACATGGCTGTGATATTAAAAAAGTTTAAGGTCGAGAATAGATCGATTAAATAAACAGAATTAACATTTCTGAATGTGACTATGTATGACAACTGAATTATTTTTCAGATGTCCGAGAGCCCCGAGGAAAAGAGGCAGTAGTCTGACGTAACGTAAGCCAGATTTTTATAACCTGAACCGTTGGATCACTTAGTGAAATGTATTATATTTGTTAAAAGATGTAATGCTTGTCATTTTGTGTCCCACTTTTACTTTTTTAAGAATGATCTTTTGTATCTTTTTGTCATTGATTGTGTTAAACTATTAAATAAAAGAAATGTGACTCAACTGCTGGACAGGTGTTATTTTTATTCAACTTTATTATTGTGTATTCATGGTCATGTGCCACTGACGAAGTGTTTTGTTTCAGCATTAACTCTGGGTACATTGTTTTACATTTCAGTTTTGTTTTCAAGAGTGATTCCGAACCCAACAGCAACATTACCAATGACAAAGCAAGATATCCAGGAAAATAACATGTTGTAGGCATCCCATTCAATTAAAAAGAAAATCATAATTAAAGTAAAAACATCCAGAGCTCACATAATTCAATTTCCCGGGAATCACACCCAACATCTACACAATCCACTCTACCAGTAACCAGAGATAATAGATGTTTTGTTAATAATCGTCACTAAACGTTTGTTTATTTGACTGTGTACCTGCAGAATGGGGCTTTCGCAGGACACGAAGGTGATGCCCTGTCATTCGATGAGTGCATGCAGCTTCTGGCTGAGACTTTTCCGCTAGATGAGCCAGCTGAGGTAATTACGGGATATATATATCGCCCATATAACACCTCACGGCAACACAACACCTATACATGTCACTGCACTTCAGTCTAATTGTGTCTCTCTATAGTCTTTGCAGCCAGCTCCACCTTGCCTGGATGCCTCGGTCCCACCATCCACAGATCTCATGATGCCCACAAACAGCCCAGTCTTTACCCAGAATCCTTTGCTTCCAGGCTCTCTGGATCAAGCCTGGATGGAGTTGCTCTCACTCCCAGAGTTGCAGGTATGGCCTCACTAACACCCAGCGAACAAAAGGACAATTGTTTAAAGTATTATGTTCCAGTGTCAAATAAACATACCGGCCAAAAGGCGAGGTATATTAATCGCCCATGCAAATTTATACTTGTTTTCGGTGTTACCCTGGTCAGATAAGATGCAACCAGCTCTATAAACACTTTTTAAAGGAGTAGTTCACTTTTAATAAAACTTTTGCTGATAATTTACTCACCCCCATGTCATCCAAGATGTCCATGTCTTTCTTTCTTCAGTCGAAAAGAAATTAAGGTTTTTTATGAAAACATTCTAGGATTTTTCTCCATATAATGGACTTCAATGGGGTCCAAATGAGAGTTTCAGTGCAAACTACAAACTGTTCGAACTTGTTTATCAAAATGAACGAATCTTTTCCCGAGTCAATTCGTTCATTTTGTTCGTTGAATGAACCAAATGATTCGGAAAAAGATTTGTTCATTTTGATGAACGAGTTCGAACAGGAGAGTCACGAACGCTCATCACAGAACAGAGCAAGGTGAGCATTTGAGTTGATAAAACTTTAACATTGTTATATATTTATTAAATGAGCGATCGATTCACTTGATAAGACCCTTATTCATCGTCTGGAATCGTTTAAAGCCCTTTGAACAGTTTGTAGTTTGCACTGAAACTCTCATTTGGACCTTGAACCGTTTGGACCCCATTGAAGTCGAATGTGCATCACAGAACAGAGCAAGGCGAGCATTTGAGCTTATAAAACTTAAAATTTGTTATTTACTTATTAAATGAGCGATCGTTTCGCTTGATAAGACCCTTATTCATCGTCTGGAATCGTTTAAAGCCCTTTGAACAGTTTGTAGTTTGCACTGAAACTCTCATTTGGACCTTGAACCGTTTGGACCCCATTGAAGTCGAATGTGCATCACAGAACAGAGCAAGGCGAGCATTTGAGCTTATAAAACTTAAAATTTGTTATTTACTTATTAAATGAGCGATCGTTTCGCTTGATAAGACCCTTATTCATCAACTGGAATCGTTTAAAGCCCTTTGAACAGTTTGCACTGAAACTCTCTTTTGGACCTTGAACCGTTTGGTTCCCATTGAAGTCTATTATATGGAGAAAATCCTGAAATGTTTTCACCAAAAACCTTAATTTCTTTTCGACTGAAGAAAGAAAGACATGGACATCTTGGATGACATGGGGGTGAGTAAACTATCAGCAAAAGTTTTTTTTTTTTTTTAAGTGAACTACTCCTTTAATATCTTACATAAAAACCTTAATGTGCAATTTTAATGGGATGATTCACTCCAAATGGTTCATCTTCAGAATGCAAATAAAGATATATTTAATGAATCCTGAGATATGTCCCTCCATTAAAAGTCCATTTCACCAAAGATTTGACACTTCAAAAAGTTCACAAAGACATTCATTATTCACATATAAACATTGATCAATGCAGACACACAGAGCATTATTTCAACCGTGCTCACACTTTTACAATGTCTTTATGGACTTTTTGAAGCCCATTTTGGAGGGACAAAAATCTCATGTTTCATTAAAAATATGTTGGTTTGGTTTTCGGAGATGAATGAAGGTCTTTATATGAACAAAATGAGGGCGAGTAAAGGATGACAGATATTTCATGTCTGGGTGAACTATCCCTTCAACATAATTTTCAGTCTGAGAGGCTGTGAGGTACTTCTTTGTGTAATCTGGTTTACACCACCTGTGGTTTAGAAAGGCAATTAAACCCTGTCGCTGAGCAACAACCAAATAACCCTCTCTGAGCTCATGCTGCGGTTTGACAGGCAGCTCGGGATATATACTTCTGCCCTCGACTAAAGGTTTTTCTAGTCGACTAGTAGTCGATCATTTAAGACATTAGCCGACTAATATTAATAAGCCATAAATCATAATAATGCACCTATATAGTCTAATCAGCCACAGCGCAAAGGCAAACGTAATGATTATGAACGTGTCACGAAACATACAGGAGACTGTCTAAATATTTGAACCATTTATTGGTAATGTTTTCTGTGCAGAGATCAAGTCAACAATACTGAGTCGTCATTTACGTACAAACGTTCATTTAAACGTAGACATTTCAAGCTTTCTATGGATATATTTCTCATTTCTGTGAGGAAAGTATACGCTGAGTTTCGCTTTTATTTATGTGACGTGCTTAAGTTATCTGTCATCGATGATGTCTTAATTCTGTCGCAACGTTGCGAGTTTAAAAAACGAAAGTAGACCCTTTACTGTTTGCATTATTCTTATCGGTATGACCAAAAATTACAGAGTTAAATGCAAGTGATCGCGCCGGCGACAGTATGTCATGCATAAGCGGCTCTCCACACTAACACCTCTGCGCGTAATAATAGCGCACATTTATCAAGGTTAGCATTAGAGCATGCAGACTTGTAAAGTTGCTACTACTTACATGTTTAAAGTGATAAGCCATATTTGAAGTCGAAGAATGATCAGCGAATGTTTGGATTTCCTGCCGTTAACGATCTGTTTTTTTTTTTTTTTTTGCGACAAATAAAACCTTAGTTGACCAAGCCTCTTTCTCGTCTCATCTTTCTAGTAGTGATGGGAAGTTCGGATCATTTTACTGATTCGGATCTTTGAGTCTCGTTCAGTAAAATGAACGAATCTTTTATCGAGTCATTTCGTTCATTTCGGTCATTTCATAATTATATAATTAAAATGTCATGTTAAATATCCCATACATCTAGTACTTACGAAAATCTTAATTACATTTGTAAAAATAACATAATAGGGTAATGCAGCCAAAGCCAAAAGCAACTGAAATAACTGTAACGTTAGCTATTAATTAGTTGCTGGGTACAGGCTATTGCAGTCTGACCCTGTTATAGTTCACCTCACCTGCTGATCCGAGACGTTCTTTGCTTTGCAACTTCATATTTATCAGGTTTGTTCTCCTCCTCTCATGTCTCGAGACGTTAGCTGTTGACTCGTCAGTGTCTGACTCTGATCTGTGCTGTCTGCTGGCCGTGCCATGCGATATAGCAGGACCGGAAAGATTAAAGATTAGTTCATCTCTCGAGTTCGGGTTCGGCGGGTCCGAGTCTTTCGTTCTTCCCGTCAGTCCCATTAAGTCTATGCTTTCAGTACCGGAAAGGGGAATGATTAGTTCATTTGAGTCTTCGGGTTTGAGTCCGTCGTTCTTTTCTCACGTGGCCACGGGTCTCGCATCACATACAACATTAGATTCGTATTATTGACTGCGTCTGAATATTGTGTTATATAGGCATTAAAATACAAATGTTCAATAAACATTATAAACGTCCATTATTCCTTATTATTGTCCCTGTCCGTCTCTTTTCTATATTATGCATCTGTGGTGTGTTTTATTATATATTGTACATTAATTAACTACTATTATATTATACATCATCTACGTGCTTGTTTGTAAAAGGTTTGTGAATTAGTTTGTAAAAAGTTTGTGAATTTGGGTATTCAATACGGTGACAATTCACGTGACTAAAGAACGAAGGACTCAAACCCGAAGACTCAAATGAACTAATCATTCCTCTTTCCGGTGGTCTGACAGCATAGGCTCAATGGGACTGACAGGAAGAACGAAAGACTCGGACCCCCCGAACCCGAACTCGAGAGATGAACTAATCATTTCTCTTTCCGGTACTGACAGCATAGGCTCTATGGGACTGACAGGAAGAACGAAAGACTCGGACTCGAGACTCGAGAGATGAACTAATCATTTCTGTTTCCAGTACAGATCAGAATCCATATGTTGTGCAATGCGCATGCGCGGGTAACACAAGATGAACGAATCACTCCCTGAGACAACTCGATAGTCCCGAGTCATATTAAAGATTCGTTCAAAATGAACGAATCGTTCATGAACGACACATCACTACTTTCTAGTCGACTATTAGGGGGCAGCCCTAGTTTAAAGTTAAGTGCCCGGTTGCATAAAGCACCTTAAGTTTTTCCCTTAAGAATGATCCTTATGGAGCGATTTCCCCTTACCTAAGCGAATAACTTAAGGGTGTTCCAGTGGCGTAGCCAGGGGAGGGGCCATGGGGGCACTGGCCCCTCCTGAAAACTGATTGGCCCCCCAGTGTGCCCCCACCCTTCTAATTGTCTGTCACTCAAAAATTCAAATCATAATCTTTCAGCTTGTAGTAGAATAATTCATGATTCCGCGTCGCGCGATGCTTCTCAAAACCACACGGTAAGTTGATATATTTTATACAGCTTATTATTTTTTAAGGAAAGACGATGTGTATTCACCCTGCTGAGGGGAATGTGATAAAGCCTGGAGTGGAGCGAAAGCACGTTCCTCTCTCCACTCTAAGCATTCTGTAATCACTTCGCTCATGGTCCACTCCGGTTTTTCAATTCCCGCTCACGGAAAAACTGCTCCATGTTCACTCAATTAGTCTTAGATTTTGAGAAGTGCATGTCAGGCTACTGCTCGCTCGTTTGCTGCGGTCGTATGATAGAAAACAGAACGCGGGTCAATATTGGTCGTTTCTCAATACCAAGAACGCAAACTTCGGAGAACGAACTCCCGAGGACGAGAGGACGCGAGTCCGGTCCAGGTCCGGTCATTCTGCTAATGGAATAGCGCGTTCTTGATCGCGTCACTCAGCACGCGGCTACTCCGGTTATCTCTTATATGGTATAAAACACAACTTTGCTTCTTTTCATCAACAATAAAACGAAATACATATAAAACAGCACTCTGCCTCATTTCATTTATAAATGGACATATTATCATGAACAGATTAATAGCCACAAAAATGTGGTTCAGGTAACCTTATCTCACATTGACTATCTTCACTGCATATATTTATAACACGAAATATAAAACACAACCCTGCTTCTTTTTGTTTTCATTTTAAAAATGTGAAACATTATTGATCATTAAAACTGACATTTAACAAACAGACATGTATCGTTTTATTGTATTACACACAGTGAAGAGAATGTATAGTAAAACATACACATATAAAGAA